TTTATCATCTTGCCTGCACTAAGATAATTTATTGTATTTTTGAATGAGCAGATTGAGTTCTACCAATAAACCCTTAATCTTCACTTTTATATCTCCAAATATATTTAGCGACAAGTGTCCAATAGCTTTCTGTCACTATTATTAACCTGTTGTGAGAACGATTTGATAGTGTGAACATACTGACAAATCCGGAAAAGGTAAAGGGACCCTTATTTTGACTATTGAAATGTGTTAACAGCACAAATTGCCTACCATTAATGCTGTGTAAAATATGTTCTTGCTCTTTTTCAAACCACGGTTCATTAGTGTATAACATACAAATTATGATGCAAACCCCAATTAAGTTCTTAATCTAATTCATAGTTTACAGTTTAATTAACTCAGTGCTTCTATTCTGATTAACTCATCCCTTCCACAAATTGAAATTCCAGCAAGAATTTGAATATTTTCTAGAGGAACAAATTTATATGAATCTTGTTATAAAATTTGGCATAATTCCTTCTGATTAGGAATTCTAAGAACAGCTTAATTTTGGAATGCTCTTTACCTAAAATGGCAAATTGGCTTCCAGTCCTTAAATTTGAATTTGGTGGAACAGACTAGAGAAATGGGCTGACAATATCAGAAAATCCACAGCTTTTTTACATTATGGGGAAGTCATAAAGAGAAGTGAATGAACAAGCGATGGACATCAAATGTTTTGCTGCATGTTAGGTGAGAAAGTGAATGAGAGAAACTCAGTTTAATTTTGAGGTACCTTGCTATTTAGATAGCAATCATCAGAAGTTGGGCTATCTGCATTTAAAAATTTTATTGATTTCCCCCACACACACTCCTTAATTGATAATCTCTAGAATAGAACCTTGATTTAGTCTAGAATATAAAAGTTCACAGAATTCTGCTTAATGAAAACTTCTGCCAATTTGAGGAGGTAGTTTATTTCTAAAATGGCATATAAATATAAGGAAACACATTAAGAGGATTCAGGACTTGGTTGAAAGAAAAGGGCAAAAAGACCACTATTGTGGTTTTCATTATTATTTCAGAAAAAATTATACTAAGAACAATGAAGGTTCCTATACTGACAGGAAAGCACCATGAAATACTTCCAATAGTAGAATATTAATTTGGATAATTCACCTGTAGGTTAGGAGTTGTTCATCACACAAAGAGTTCATTTTTGTAAAGCAGTCATTTCAAACTTTAGACTTTATTTACAATGATAATTTGAATATCTTTATTACTTAGAAAATAATTTATATTTTTCCATTGTTTAAACAAAGAATAGGCCTGAGTCTCATGCCTTTTGCACAGCTTTGACCTTCAAAGAAAATTCTCTAGGAAAGAGAGGCAGGCAACATGGGAAAACAGTAACTCAATAGTTTACATACAGCTATTCTAACACTCGACAAGGCAGACAACCCTTTTTCTTCAGTTTACTATGATTACAACGGTTAGGATTTGTTCTGGAATTCTGTCAAAACAGAAAAGACAGAATGGATATTCTGTTTTGAGGAAACTGGATGCTTTCTGAAACATAATACGAGGAAATTCCTTCACTTGTCAGATGAAGATCTAACAGATAAAACCCTGTACAGAGTATTCATTCTCATCTTCTAGTGAGAGGAAAATCAGGTCTTAAATCAATGAAAAAAATAAAGATCTTATAGTTAAAAATCAAACCATGAAAGTGATATTTTCACCAAGGAAACAATATTCTAAAGGTTGGTTTAGATAGATAGCTAGAGATTCTTAGCATGCTGAAAATGACATGAATGGCACTCCGAATATATTTGGTCTTTTACTTTATAGAGAGTGATCAACTGGCATCAAGTTAAACAGTTACAATTTTTACTTCCTTTCATTTTATGGTTCCTATACAATTATCCTTTTCCTTAAATGGATTACAAATTCCTTCTTTGGAAAGACCTGAGTTAATCTAATGGCATCTACAAATAGGCTCATATAAAATGTAGTAAATTGCAACAAATACACTGGCACCACAGGAAGTAAGCTCTGGAGTTGAAAGTGAACACAGAAATATTACTGCCATCTCACGAGGAAGAGAATATCATTAGCAGAATTTTTATATCCCTAGGCATTCTTGTGTGCACATGAAAGTGATCCACTCAATGAATATTCATCACCCCCCCCCCCCCACTTCCTTTTTAGTTGACCTCTAGCTTTAATTATAAATCTGCTTAGACTGGCGAAATCAACTCTAGAATAAAGTGTTTCTAATTTTTGTGACTATTTTTAGTCCTACAATTTCATGCACCTTAAAAGCACACGCATAAACAAACACCAGGCAGTTTACTGAGCCTGCCACTCTAGCAGCCAGGCTGTCTCCTACTTGGGCCACAGAGCTTGGAGAAAGCTGTCAATATACTGCTAGTGACTCACAAATGTTTAATTCATTTTTGCATTTTCCATCTACTTATTCCACACTTGGATTTTTACTTGATTTGTATTGATTTCAGTAATGTAGAACATATGGAAGAGGGAAAAGAATTGTTAAGAAATCAGGTGTAAAGGGAAATATATGTAAATGAGGGGATATTTTTCTTCTCTTGTTTGCGAGGGAAGGATAACCGTTCAATCAATTGGAGAAATATATTTGAATCACAGTAATTTCTGCAAATAGGTCAATACACAGGTAATACCATCAAAATGGGAAAGGAAAAAGTAAAATTTAAATAGTGAATACCTGGTGTTAAATAAAGATTGATCCTAATTGTTAGGTAGAAGTTGTCATCCATTTGATCTGTTTCTCATTTGCCCTACTTACTGAAAAAATTGCTTTGAAGCAATGTTTATGGTTTATTTGCATTATTGTTGTCTTTTTTGAAAAAAAGTCATGGATTCATGTAAAAATCACTGCTTCAGAGAATGCAATATCCATTTGTGAGAAACAAAGGCATTTTAAATGTAAACACTCCTGTGACTTCAGAGGAAATAAAGCAATGAAATTGCTATCAAGCTAAGACCGTTTAGATGATTAGCAGGGTCATACATAAGTCTGTAGGGAGAGTCATAACCAAAAGTGTTGGAAGAGGTGGGCACTGATTATGAAAAAAAAAAAAAAAAATTGTATCTCATGAAAAAGAAAGTCTTTCATCTGGGAGACATGGATCTCAAATTCTTTCCGTGAGCAAAAGATACTAGTGAAAAAACTTTCTTGGCAGCATCCTCATGAAATTGCCATAAAATGAAATGATCAAATTAATCATTTAAATTAGGATAATAGGTAGGTGAGTGACTGCCCATCACAGCCATGCAAGTGGATCCTCATTGTCTTACTGGATTGGAGATGGCTAGAATGTATAAAAAGGGTGATGAAAATATGACTTTATAAAAATGTTTCCCTTTTCCTTTTTAAAAAGTTTTGTATCTACAAAAATGAAAACAAAAAATCTTTATATTTACAACAAGATAACAATTCATGACAAATATAATAATATGAAATAAAATATTGAAAGTGAGTATCAACTTTTTAAATAGAGGTTTGGCTCACAGCATAAACAAGTGTAGATACACAAACCCAAAAAACAAACAAAAACAAAGCAAAAATAACTTTCCATGATAAGCCCAGTCCTAAAACAATCACTCTAATCTTCTCAGCCAAAAGAAGGATGAGAGTGGGCCAGACTGCAGCTAGAAACTGACCAATCACACCACATGTGGAATACCAGAAAGGGGTTGTCAGTGGAACCTTTAACCTGGAAAATCCAATGCTTAACAGTTGTCAAGAATCAGGCTTTGCTATGCCAATAACATCACAATACTAGGTGAAAATTCTCTCCCCAACTCTAGCTAAAAACCCCACTGGATTTCTTGCCTTTCTTTCTTTTTTCTACTAGACATTTTGCAGCACATTAAAAAGTCATATATGATCACAGTGAAGGGTAATTTCCCAGGTGGTTTCCAGCAATCTTTTAGAATTCTAACTTGATTAAAGGACCTGACTCTAGTTCCTTTCAGAAGTGTGTATGTGTAAAGAAAGCCATCCCCTTAAATGGTGATTTGATCTTAGGTGAATGACACATAGACTCACAGACACAGATCCTATACATTCATTAGGCATTTAGGTTGGAAAATGCCTTTCTGACCAGGTTTGATGCTGGTCAGAGTGCCTCCAAGTGGCGCATAGCAGTAGTACCAATCACATGGCCCTCTTAATCAGCCCATGAACACACTCCATCTGCAAAGGAACCTTTATTGCAGCTAAATCAAAGAGGGCATTTGGACTGGCTGCCACTCAAAGATACTCTAAAATTAACGTCCTTCTGTTTGTTCACATGTACTGAGTCATCAGCTACAGTTATTCTATGAATTACTAAAACTACCAAAATCTCTCACTACAGTCATAACAAACACACACACACCCTTTCAATCACTGGTTACAGACACTTACACACTTGAGTGCGCACACAACACAATATTGGCAGGATGTATCAGAATTCAAATAATGCTCTGGAACTTTCATCCTTCAGTGTTAAGAGCTAAAGCTGCTTACTAGTTGGTGACCTACATTTGCTGTACTGTTTCTTTGCTAAGCGGCACCATTTCCTTTGTGATTTGTTTTCCTTTATGATTTATTATATCACAGTGACCACTATATATCTTAATATGAATGCTACTAAATTATAAGCCAGTAATTCTGGCTTTTGGTGTATGTGCATGTGTGTGTGTATGAGTGTGTAAATATAATTTACATTTATGTGTGTGCTTATACACACACACATACACACATAAATATATTTCTTCCTTAATAAAAAAAAATCTTAGAAGCTGGTGTTGCAGTGTGAAAGCTTCTTTGAGCAAGTTTAAACAATGTACCTCACTGTAAAACACATAAAATGGGAAGAATCCCAATATGCAATAGTCATTTGTCCATCCTCTCCTATTTATTTCTACAGTGTTGTGTCTAAGTGTTGTGCTGGCTTGAAAAGAGTCTGTGACAAGTCAATCTGTTTGGAAACAGCCTGCTCCACCCATTGTCACTGGTTTGGCTTTGGGGTTGGGATCTCCTCTGCTTTCTGTTTCCCTTTCTCTTCATCTTCTTCCCTGATGGCCTGGATCTGTTCGGAGGAATGCTGCTGAGGGGACTGGTCCAGGGATTGCTTTTCTATGCCTGCCAACCGCTGTTCTTCTTCGATGACCTTCTTCCACATTTTGTGGTTCTGCAGGAGATGCTGAGTTATTTGGCAGTAGATTTTCCTCCTTTTGAAGGCTTTCTTTCCTGAGAAAACATAAAATTAGAATATGCATTTGTGCACTGAGAACATGAAAATTATTCCTTTGCAAATAATTAACAAGAGTTAAGTACCAAATGGATACATATATGTATCACCTGGTTTGCATATTTTAAGAATACAGGTTCTGAGAATAGGGAAACAAGAGGAAGATATTTAACCATGGGCTGTATTGGACATGAAAGAAACAAAAAAACCAAAACAACTTCAGATTTTATTTAAAAATCGGCTACTGTCAAATCAACTCCAACTCCTGGTATTCCAATGTGAAGTAGAGTAAAACTTCTCCATAGGGTTTTCTTGATTGATATCTTTAAAGAAACCGATCCTCAGGTCTTACTTCAATGACACTGCTGGGTAGATGTGAATTGCCAACTTCTAGATTTGTAAATGAGTGAAAACTGTTTATGCCACCCAGAAACCTTGCTATTGGATATCGGTGCTGGTGGTACTGTGCCATGGTGTTAGATCCGACTCACAACCATCTGGTAGAGGGTTTCTGAGGCTCTAAATCTATAGGGGAGCAGAAAGCCCCATCTTTCTCCTGAGTAGTAGTTGGTAGATACAAATTGCTGCCCTTGCAGTTAGCAACCCATCTGGGAAATACTAAATAACCGTCTGTTGTTGTTGTTGTTGTTAAGTGCCGTCGAGTCGGTTTCGACCCATAGCGACCCTGAATAGGGTTTCCGAGGCTGTAAATCTTTACAGGAGCAGA